GCAACAAAAAAAATCCCAGGTAAAATGTCTATGTTTAATGTTAATTGGTCTTTCTGAACAGATGCTAATAGCTGCTGCCATGAATTTAACCTAACTGCTCTCTACATAACAGATAGTCCAGAGGGGAAAAAACCAAAAAATACTGAGAAACATTTTTCAAATATTTCTTAGAAGTAAAAAAAAATCCACTGGTGGGAGAAAAATAGCAAAATGGTTAAATAGCATGCTATTTCTGAAAAACTTTGAAAGGCAAGGTGTGACCCTGCCAGGTGAAGCAAACAGTAAAAAATGCTGGTGAGTATTTTGAAGAGCGTAACAAAGGAGGCATAATGTCTACCGTGCACTTAGTATATACTAATTATAAATTTAAAATCAGTGTGGTTGATCGTGTAGAGACATTCTTTAAAGTGTCGATGTTCATGATTGTAGAAGAGTTCTCTTATACAGTGGAGGTGCACAGAACTACTTGAAATGTTTGCTGATCAAGAACTTGTAGATAATTACTCTTAGCAACAATGAAAAGAAACCATCCTTGAGAATGGCTCTTCTAAATAACTGCCAGTTACACTTCAAAGTAGAGAGGCATTTTCAGAATGTCCTGGAACTGTGTTTCCTTTTGTGATCAGAGTTCTAATTACTACTTTGTGCAGAGCATACACATGTACTAAGATCCATAGCACATGTATCAACCAGGACAAGGAAAGATGGGAATATAATTTGAGTGACAATTAGGCCTCATTTCCAAAGCTTGGTATGTCCCAGACTAGATCCAAAAGAGGGATAGATGAGCACCATGCAGCCTTCAAAAGCAGTTTGAAATTTAGTAATTCAGTTAGGAATGTCACTTGCGTTACATGTAGGGCTTTAGTACAGCCTCATTTCTGTAACCTCAAAGAAATTAAATATTTTAGAGATCTAAGGCAACAGTGTTCTGGTAGCAGCTGGATTACATAATGAGATCTGTTTCACTGCCTTCATCAAACTAGCCTGTATCCAGTTTCCTCACAATACATGGGAATCCAGATGTAAGAGCTCATCTGTGGTGTGCAGTTTTTCCATGAAGATTCTTTACAACCAGGATTCCTTTCTATAAATGAAGAGACAGAAATAAAGTTAGAGAAGCTATTGGCTCCCAGGATGGTGAAGATTAAGATAGAAATTAAATTCAAGAGCATTTCCAGATGCTGGATGATTCAGAGGGCTTTTCAGCTATAATTGATGGAATTTTCTATGCTGCTTCTGAGTGGTGTTATGGGCAAAGCAATGACCAGAAAAATCAGGAATTTACGACAAGTCCCTGTTGGAAGTTTGACGGGGTACAGGACTCTGACATTAACAGGCACATGGAGAAACCACAAAAAAAAATATCTGCTTAGGGGAAGTGTAACAGAGATTGTTTAATGAGTCATATCACAGTTTGTACTGAAGAGCTATATGCTCTGATCCTGGCTGATTAGTGTTACCCAAGGAAGAACTGTAACATCTCTATGGACTTGATGTTGAAAAAGTAAAATAATAATAATAATAATAATAATAATAATAATAATGCATTTTTCTGTAGGTAAAGAAGAGTGGTCTAGTTGTGGTGAAAAACATGAAGATTATCGGTCTTCATTGTTCCAGTACAGACTTGCATGCCGGCCAGATTGCACTCGTTAAACATGGGTCAAGACTTAAAAACTGTGATCTTTATTTTTCCAGAAAACCATGTTCAACTTGTTTAAAAATGATTGTAAATGGTAAGCAATGACTGTAGTAGAGTAGAAGTAAATGTTATTCTTGTGATTGGTGGTATCAGAAAGTCTGTTTTCTCTTTGGCCTGTCCCAGTTGCCAATCCCTCATTCGTGTAGACTGCACTGCTATTTTCCACAAGGCTGAAAACAGTATTGAATGTACAGCTCCAGGAGCTGATGATCAAGAAACTAGGGTTTGCTACTGAGACCCTGTTTCTCTGTGCAACTATTATTATTGGTGGTGCTTGTCTCTTGGTTGGCATGCACAGCTGAGATTCTGACATACCTGTGCACTTTGCCAGAGCGACCCTAAGCCTGATGACTAGGCCTAGATTACTACGGTTTTCCTTGCCCTCCCATTGCCTGTCAGTGGCACTAGAGGAAGGGTGTTTTTTATGCATAAATCACAGGGAGTACTTTATGGTTTCCTTTTCCCAAATGAGGTGAAGGCAGGTCGGATTATTCACTTCCCAAAATGGGATCTGCTGGTACAGCCCTTCTGCAAGTGTTGGTTTCTAATCTCAGCAGCAGCTTCTATTAGCGCTAACTTTTTTGTATGGTGTTAATGTATCTGTTGTAGGTAAGATGCAAAATTAGGCTGCCACAAAGATCTTAGAACTTAGGGAATTCCAATTTTTGTCTATAGTGTGATTATCAAGTCTGATGAGCTCTTGATACTCGTATATGCTAGCATTTTTGTTGTCCAGATGCCACTGAAACAGCACTCACAGCCTTAAAGGAGTAAAAACAGGGTTAGGCAATAGTGTGTTGAAAATGAGGTTTATGTTCCACTGTGCCCGCATGGTTCCTTTTGCTGCATTATTTTCTCTTCCAGCTGGGGTGAACAGGATTTCTTACTGGCCTGCAGATCCTGAAATCAGCTTGCAGAATGAGGCGTCCAATCCCATGACTACTGATGATGCAAAGCTAGATGCCAAAGCAGTAGAAAGACTGAAGTCAAATAGTCGTGCTCGAGTGTGTGTATTGCTTCAGCCCTTGGTATGCTATATGGTGCAATTTGTTGAAGAAACTTCCACCAAGTTTGATTTTATTCAAAAAATAGCAAAATGTCAGCCTGACTCTAATACTGACTTTTATACTGCATGTAGACAAGAGAGAATAAAAGAGTATGAAAGTTTATTCCTAATTTCAAATGAGGAAATGCACAAGCAAATATTGATGACAATAGGACTGGAGAACCTCTGTGAAAATCCGTACTTCAGCAACCTCAGGCAAAATATGAAAGATCTTGTCTTGGTCTTGGCAACAGTGGCTGCCAGTGTCCCTGTCTTTGGATGCTTTGGATTTTACAACAGTGAATCACGGCGAACAAATGAAACAGACCATCAGGGTTTGCCCCAAGAAATTGCAAGGCACTGCATGATACAAGCCAGGTTACTTGCCTACCGGACAGGTGAGTTGTTACAGTAGTGGAGGAAGAACGGGTCTCATGAATAGAGCGAGTTCCTTATTTCAGTCTCACTTCTTCCAAATACTTCCTTGAGCAAGCTGCTGAAACCCATTCCTACATCTGTGAAACAGGAGCAGCAGTAGAAGTAAAATCTCCACAGGGGTACATAGTATTGTGTGTGAAAGCACTGGGCTTTCCAATAGAAAATCAGGGCAGGTATTTCACATACAATGCTAGCAAAGCCTGTCCTGCCAACATGGCCAACACCTATCTGAAAATAGCATACAATGACATTTAGGTTCTTCAAGCTGTTCTGAGGCTCTTTTTTATGGAGGTTTCGCAAGATGTTTCTGTTATCAAATAGGTGCCAATATTTTAAGCATATTACTTACACTTCTTCAGAAAAGAGCAGTGAAATAATATCCTTCCAGTAGGGCGTTAAGTACAGTTATATTAAATTCCTAGTTCCAATCTTATTAGTGAAAGTGATTGTATATCTGATGGGGGTTTTCTTTGCAAAGATGCTGGAGTTTTGCCATCTCACATCAGCAAACCTGTCTGCATATATTCTTGGCACACATTTTCTTATCTAGTATGCGTATTGGTTGCTTCTTAGCATTTGTGAACAAATGTACATAGCAAAGTCTTAGAATGGCTGGCCTTGCAGTTAAAGCACACTCAGCGTTTGCAGTAGGCTCATATGACTTCAAAGCTCTTAATCTTTCTGCATTTCTTTTCTCCTATCCATGAAGCAACAATGAATGTTATTCCTTACTCTAGGAGGTCATATGTAAATGTACAGGTAACTGAGAAGTGCTTTAGTTATTTACTGCTAAAATTTTATGTATTTCAGAGGATCATAAAACGGGAGTTGGAGCTATTATTTGGGCAGAAGAAAAATCAGTAAGTATTGAAATAGTTACTTTTTCTTGCACTCACAATTCATATACTTGTATCTGCTTTAAGCTTGTTATTTTGCTTTAAGTTTATACACGTGTTTTTCATACACTCACTGTAGAAAGCTTGCACTTCTCATTCTTCAGTAACTAAGTTAATGACTAATTCATTGTTATGCTATCAAGATGAAGGGGAAGTATAAATGAGTTTAGTAACTACCGTAGTGTCTCTGCCTGGCTTTTTGGTGTGCTTGCTTCCCTAGTCATTGTCAGTTATTCCAGGTGTCCTGGCTACAAAGTTTTGCCAGACCAGCTGGTCAGGAGCACGTGCCTACTCTGCACGGTCCCTCTTTGTGCTATTTTTTGGAAAGGTCTCAGTGCAATTATAGCCTGACAATCTCTTGAGGATTTTTGTTGCAGTTGAAATGCTGTACTGGCTTTAGCACATGCCTTTTTGGATCAAAGTGATATTTTTCTGCAAATACTGTTACCGTGCATTTTCCCATCCAAACATAAAGTTTCTATTTCTTTATGTCTCTGATTATGCATGTTACCGATCCCAGGAAGCCTCATTCTTCATGCAGCTGCAACTTACTCTTAATTTGGTTTTAGCACTTCAGTGCTGCTTATTGCTCTTTTGCTTCTTGTTCTGATTTCAATCACGGATTGCTACTTGGTCTGTCCACTGGTCACTGGGTCTGTTGAGAGACGAGGGAGACACAGTCTCTGGCACATCAGCGACTAACTCCATCGGTCTTTAATTTTGTACATTGCAGAAAGGTTTGAGGCCTAAATCCTTCAGACTTTTTGTTCCTGCTATCAGTATTACTTGCTAAAAGGAAGGCTTCTAAAGCCTGGTGTGGTGTGTTGTCCACAGTGTTCCAGTTTGCCTGTGTGGCTCCTATGGAATGTAGTGGAAAAACTCCATACGGACATGGAGCAGTTAGAAAAAGCTGAGTTCTCTTTTAACTGCTGTAACTCGGCATGAACTGGTAATGTGAAAGTATACATTGCACAACACTTTGACTTAGTACTCAGTTTAAATGTCTCCAAATTTGATGCTTTGCTTACTGTTGCAGAGAAGCTGTGATGGAACAGGAGCAATGTATTTCGTAGGCTGTGGTTACAATGCCTTTCCTGTTGGATCTGAATATGCTGATTTTCCACACATGGACGATAAACAAAAAGATCGGGAAATCAGAAAGTTCAGATACATCATACATGCAGAGCAGAACGCCTTGACATTCAGGTAATGGGTTTATTTTTACCACAGAAAAGAATGAGATGGTTCAGAAACAATTCCATGACAAATGCATGTCGCTGTGATGGACGTGTGGATTGCAATCATGGTCTTGTTTATGCATATGATGCAGAAGTTGGATGTGCATGGATGCAGTCAGCGTCTTTCATTTCTTTAGACTTCTTAAGTGAACTTGGCTTTTAAAGGATATTCACTCCGCTGCATGGCAGCTATCCTTCAGATGCAAACCACTGCCTCTGTTTCCTGCTAGGACCATGCTGTAACCTGAAATATGGAAGTGTGGCAATTGTTGAGGCTTACAGTAATGATATGTGTGGAGAGGTGGGATGAGTGTTTTGTGCACAGATAGTAAACCCAAACCACATAAAATTGTGTACTTGTGCACTTGATTAGGAATAAGTGGCTTCTGAGAGTAGATAACACAACACTTTGCTTGCTCTTGTGAGGTATCAAGTTTGTCACCTTTCAAAAGTATCAAGATATAAACTCTGAAACTCTGTTTTCTGTCTGCTTGTAGGTGTCGAGAAATAAAGCCGGATGAGAGAAGCATGATATTTGTGACAAAATGTCCATGTGATGAATGTGTCCCTTTAATCAAAGGGGCTGGTATCAAGCAGATCTATGCAGGAGATCTTGATGCAGGAAAAAAGAAAGCAGACATATCCTATATGAAGTTTGGTGAACTTGAAGGTGTAAGCAAATTTACAGTAAGTGTCTAAACGTACTATATTCTAAAAACTTGGCAGCACTGGGGGGAGGATGGAGTGAGCAGTCGTCTGTAGCCAGCATAGAGGAGTGTTTTCCTGTGCTATTTGGTCAAGTGAGTGGAATTGAGAGGTTGCTCTGTCATGACACTGGGAAGAAGTGCTGTGGCATATGCCAGATGGTGGAGCCAAGTGTGTCAGTTTTCTGCAATTTCCTTGCAGATTTCCCTCTAACTCATTGCTGTTGTTTGATGTGGTCTCTTCACACTCTGATGTGGTCTCTTCTCACTTCTCTCCAAGCCTTCCTATCACTGATGTGGGAGATCACTGTGTGACTTTGTAGGCCTTTCCAGCAGCACCTGAAAGAGGTGCGGTGGGTTTTGAAGTGCACCTCCACTCAGGGGGCTCACCGTGACAAACTGCAGCACTGTCAGTTTGAGCAGGCTGGTTTCCCCTTCTCAAGGGAGTAAATGGCCACGTATCCCTTAATAGCTTTTTATCCTCGAAGCAAGCGTGTGTTGTAGGGGGAGCCCTTCATTTCCCACCTCACACCTAGTCACATCTTACGGTGAAGGACTGTAGGGTACTTTTTCTTTTTTTCTCCTATTGCTCTTTCTTTTGTATTCTGGAATAAGTAAACTTTTTCTTCTTCTTTTACCAGTGGCAACTAAATCCATTGCACAATAATGCCCTTGAATTCCATGACCCCACAGCCAGGGAAAGTAAGTATTTTTTCATTGATTCATTTTATGACCAAAGTCAATAAGTGAGATCACATTTTAAACAAACCTGAACGCCTCTGGGATTGATTAGTCTTAATTAATCTTGATTTTGATTAGTTAAATTTTGCTATGAAAACTTCTCTGAGCTTTTTGAGTGGATCAACTATTGGTAAGTCGAAAACAAGCTTGTTTTTACAAATGCTTGGCATTGGCATACACGTTACAAAATCTAGTAATGCTATTATCAAGGTCGACAATACGCTGTTTTGCACATAGATCATTTCAGACTACTTTACCATGTTTTAAATTGTGTTCTATAAAGACTTTTTGTATTGTGTTCTAGAAAGAGTGCCATTCTTTTTCAAGAGAAATTTGACTCCTACAAGTAATTTAAATACGTTCTGCAGAACATTTCAGTGCTTCTTTCATGAAGTAGAATCTATGCCAATGCTTTTCAATCAACATTTATTTTTGTGTGTAAATATACACGTATATAATATAAAGGCCACAAAATCTTTGTTGACCTGCACCCCTATAGCAAGGGAGCTGTCATCTTCTGAAAACAAGAGTTTAGATGAGTCTTGTGTTGAAGCCTTTTTGTGCTACAAAAGGAACCCACCATTGGCATCTACTGTCGGCTACCAGTCCTTAAGATGTTTCTCATCCAGAATGGAAAATAATGTGGAAAAAGAAGCTGAATAATTTTTGTGCCTCAAGCATGAAGATACGGAGTGTAAAGATAGGGAATTGGCAGTTACTCAAAGCATTGAGCACCATGCTTGGAGCACAAAAAAGGCTGAAGGTGGGTTTTGTAGCACATGAATAGGCACGTACTACAAGCTAATTCCTAACATGTAGTGAGCTAGATTAGTGGAGAAATCTCTTTGTTACCTATTTCCTTATGAGTCGGTGGGGAAGAGGGGAGGGAAGGGCTCAGAGTAGTGTTTATGGCATTAGTAATCACTGCAAAAATTTAAGGCTTGTTTGTCCCTCTCTCTGCTAATGGTTTTTAGACCCAGCTGGAGAAAGATCCATCCTGGGGTACTTTGTTTGAAAACCTTTGACAGGGCTCATTTTTCTAACAGTGTTTTCTTCAAGATGGTATGCCTGCATTTTCAACAGTGAACTGTTTTAAGTTGCTATTTTTCCTTAGTGTGTTTCTTTTACTATAACTATTGCATGTTCCTCTATATGGGGAAGAAAACAAGCTTCCCCACCCCAACTCCCCACCCAGTGTTATTCCAGTGTGCCTGTACGTGTTGAGTATTCAGACTGTGCTTCCCATTGTATTAAAGTTTCACACATTTGTATTTTTTTCTTTAGATGGGGTCCAGAAAACAAAATCACTAGATGATCAGCAGCACCAAAACAAGAAACTGTGTCTTGGTCACTATTGAAAAATTAAGCACTTCTGCAGTCTTGCTCTGTACTTTTTATAATGCAGCCTGTTTGCACTTTCAAATAAGGAAGAGTTTTATTTATTGTTTGGAAAGTGATTTTTAAATAAGTTTATTTATGAGGTCTTAAATGTTTTACAGAATTACCTGAATGTCCTTTTAATTTAGAAGTTCCTGGGGAAAAAATGCTGCTTGTATTTTCTCTGAAAGTAACTGGGTGGCTAATCATTGTTAACATGTTAAAAAAAAAATACCGAAAGTTTATTGCTGGTAGATCAGAGTAATAATAAAATGGTATCTTTTTTGCTTGCTGTGTGGATTGAGGGAATGGATTTCTAAGTTCTGGGCTAGCAGAATGCAGAGATAAGCCCTAGTTCTTCAAGTACAATCGTCAAGGGAATCTTCTAGGAAATGGTAGATAAGTAATCACTAGCAATTATTCCCGTTCCTGAAAGTGGCTTTTGCTTCTCAGTCTGCTTGTATAAAGGAGACAGAGCCATTGGGATGGAAATCGTTTCTAGGTAAGTGATTTGGAGATCAAGCTTGTCTCTCATAAGTGCTGTCTTCCAACTACCATGGCAGCAGAGGCATTTTGGTTTGTGGTACTTGCATTGCTGCTCTGTGTGCTTCCTCAGGTGCGTCTCATTTGAATTAATGTAGACAAAGATTAGCTTTGCTTTTTCTCAGCTTGTGGATGCAGGCACAAAAGAATTTGGCTGTATGCATCTCACTGGCCCCTACATACTATGTGAAGATTGCTAGTGTTTAGGTTTTGTTAATCTTTACTAATGGGCTTCTAGGACTACAGAAGCTAATAAAGTGCCACATGTCCTGTTGTTTCTTAGGATGGAACCAGTGGAATAGCCCGAATCTTTTCAGGTGCCAGTCTCTCGGATAACTACACGTGGGGCAAGGGTGACCGTTCAAACAGCCAGTGAAACTGCAGTCTAATGTTATAGCTAGTTTGAGGGGGTGCTGGGTAGGTAACGGGTAACCAGAACAGAGAGTTCGACCCAGCATCTTTTGAGACGTCACTCTCCTTATTCCCATCTCTGCTGCTTTAGATATGACCTCTAGTTGTTTGGTTTAGTAGACGTTCCAAGACTTTCTATTCACTCCTCTGCTGAGCTTCCAAGTGCAAACACCTTAAACCTTTTTCTGCTGCTGCTGGTAGGATATATAAACAGCCTTTTCCCAGTTCCTTCATGCATGTTGTCTTTGCTACCCTCATTAAAGTCCTGGAAGGGGATTCATGTCTTAAGATGCTGCTGTAGATTTGTTTGTTTCTTTCTTTTAGGCTTTGGAAAAGTTTGGACCTAGATAGCAAAGCTGTGATTGGATAGTGTGCAAAGCATCCTTAACGTGGCATTAATTATATGGAGCCTGTTCTCACACAGTTTGGCTACTGGTCCTGCAACTTAAGGTGTAGTTCTTGATGCTTGGAGCTGAAGCAAGGAGCTGCGATTCCCAATGGCTCATAGTAGAACTTCGCTCTTGAGTACCTGGACTTCAGAACCAGGGAATGCTTATATCTTCCTACCACCATGAGAATTCACTGTCACTGGAGCTGGAGAAGCTGCTGTTTCTCTGAGCCTAGTTAGATTGAGGGCTACTGTAGGGCTGCTGGTTGAGTGCGGTGCATGCAGAGTTAGCAGCAGAAATCTCATCAGGCAGCTGGTTGACCTCCTGCATCATTGCTGTCTTGTTAAGCAGGGTGCATACAGCTTCATTTCCCAAGACCAGCTAGTGAACGAAGGAGAAAAATCTGACGCTGTTTGTCAACTAAGGGAAGGATGGTGAAATCTATTTTTGCATCACACCACAAAAGAGTGCTTTTTCACAGTAGCTCAGGAGGAAATAGCTGAACTGCCACTTCACCAGGTCTTGTAATCTAATGTGGGGGAACTCAGGTCCTGAACTTAGTGCCAGAAGATCCAGCTGCAAGAGTTCATTCCTCACCTGTCAGATCCAGAGTCCAGGGCCTGGGGATTAAGTTATTGGTCTGGATGCTGTACAAACCTCAGAAAGTTTTTTCCTCTCATCAAGGATTATATGGTTTCATTGTTTGTAACTTCCATATAAGGTTAAAATCAAATGTTGGTGTTTCATAAGCAAGATTATACATAATCTATTTTAAAATCATAAATATTTTACTTTGGCATATTGCTCCCCCCCCCCATAAGTGTCTTGTGTTAGAATAATTACTCTTGGCTTTTCCTACAGATTAGAGGAACACTGTCCATATTAGAGTAAAAAATGTGTCCCACCCACTGAAACCTTCTGGTTTCCATAATCCATTGGCAATGCTTTTATACTTGAGGTAGAAGCAGGGAAAAAAACAGGGGTGGGTTTAAGGCCTCTTCAAGTTTTATACTGATCAGTCAGCTGGTTTCAAAAACGGTCGAGAAGTCTGTGTGTTTATAGGAACAGCTGAAATCGAGAAGTCCTTGAAACATCATAGGTGGCCTGGGTACATGGAGAGGTAAATCAAGATACAAGTCAAATATTACACACATTAAATAACTACGCTGCAGTAAATGCTGCTGGTAACCTGTACTTCACGAGGAGTTAAGATTTTACCTTTACTTTTTATCTTTTTTTAAAAAACTGATTTTTGTACAAAACTTTCCATGAAACTTTTAAGTGCTTGCAGGGCTAAAGGCTTGGAAGTCTGGCTTTATTTCTGTCTTGCTATATTTCTACAGATTCTTCCAGAGGCACACAAATTTCTGTGGGCTCTGATTATCAGTGTAACTCTACTTCTTTTAATTCTTGCTGGGATCACAAAGTAGGGTCTTTATCCTGGACAAGAAGAACTATATGAATGGGGTTCTCTCTCAACCCATGGACTCTGTAGGTGCTGCTGTGCATGCATCTGCTTACCAGAGCGAGCCACGGAAGATTGGACATCTCCTGCAGTGCTTATTTTGGAAGCGAACTCTAGGATGTTTGTTTCTCACATAAAAAGAAAAACGTATTTAAAATTAAGAAATGTGAAAGTTCTATATATAATATACTGTATGAAATTTCCATATGCATTTTGGGTCTCTTCCATTCATTTCAGAGCAGTCATTTTAATTGCAGGTATTAACTATCAGTAATAATTTGGCCTCTTGACTGAGAATTACAGACATTCTCTGTTAATTGTCTGCCTTACAGCAAAACATGTTTTCTGCTAATAAATTAATCTGACAGTAAGTACTAAAGTGTATTTGTAAGTGCTTTGGGTTAATAGAAACATTACAGAGTGCTTTGAAACGCTCACACCCTCTACCAGCCCAGTGCTGTCCTTGTTCCTGCAGTCCCAGCTGTTTGCTGAGCTGCATCACCTCCCTCTGCTCTGCCTAAAGAATTTGTCTCAACATGAGACTGTGCCTCCTGCCAATCCCAGGGGAAGGGCTAGGGTCCCCTCCCTCTGCCTGCAAGCATTAACGAGCATTAACTCCCTCCTCCTTGGGAGAGTAGGCACTGCCTCGGGGAGCATTGTGTGAGCCGCCACCTCCACAGTCTGTTTCTTGGTTGGGACAGAAGTGGGCGAAGCTTTGACCATCCAGCAGTAAAATTGGTCCCTGCTGCGCCTCCTGCCTTGCTGCCCCAGATTGCCCGTATGGGCACACGCAGGTGTCTTGATTTGTAGTCACCACAGAGGGGGATTGCTGTGGTGATCGGGGCTATACTGGTCAGCAGCATGGCTGAAGGGGAGCGAGTCTGTAGTATGAAGCAGGTGATGCTGAAGGCCTGAACCATCAGGGGTTTTACATCCACCTAGCTCTAGCTGGGGCATCTGGACTGAAGGCCTGTTACCCAACGGAATGCATTAGGGCTATTCCTACAGTATGTTTTCCTGTTAAACTTCATCTGAAAGGGATCCACTCAATGCACTCTGAGACTGGCTCGTGTCAGGGAGCCACACGCAGTAAGTGGGGACAGATGGGAGATGCGTTTCAGAAGGGCTCTTGAACTGAAATGTCATTGTAGACACAGAGTGAGCAGTCAGTGGGACGTGGTCAGCCGAGCTGGCAATGGGACAGGCTTCTCAGTGCCATGTTTAAGGTGAGTATTACTCTGAAAACATTTGCAGCCCGCTAAATAGATTTTTTGTTTGTTTGTTTCAGCCATTCTGGCTGTGAACCAGAGTTAAAATACCTGTTTCGCTTGAATTTGTTAGATCCGGTAAGCAACATTTCTTGGAGACTACAAAAGCAAAGGTGGCAGATGGTGCGTGATGATTTCTAATAGACCTGTATTACTGTATCGTTAATGAAGATGGTCACAGCGCCACATATGCAGACCTGAACTCCATTCTGCACAGAAAGGTAATTGCAGAGGACTGTTATCAAACACTTGGTGATCTTCCTCAGGATCCCTCTGTTTTCCCAGGCCTGCATAGCTGTGTGCTGATCCCCCAGTTGTGTATGCTGCATACATATAGGCAGGCAACATCTAGTCCTAAGCTTTTTCAGACGTCGGGGCAGAATGCGCTGCTCAGCATTTTACAGTTTTGTTGCCTCTTTGAAGCGGAAAGGGGCTGGTAGCACCAGATGTCTTCTGCTGGACCCCACCTCCTTGTGGTAACATGAAGTAACAAGCAATAGGACAAGAGGAAATGGCCTCAGGTTGCACCAGCGGAGGTTTACACTGAATATTAGGAAAAATTTCTTCACCGAAAGGATTATCAAACATTGGAACAGGCTGCCCAGTGAAGTGGTGGAGTCACCATCCCTGGAGGTATTTAAAAGATGTGTAGACGTGGTGCTGAGGGACGTGGTTAGTGGTGGCTTTGGCACTGTTAGATTGGCGGTTGGCTGTGATGATCTTAAAGGTGCCTTCCAACCTAGATGATTTTATGATTATATGGATACAAGTAGGGCCAAGACAGGGGGTCTTTACCTTTGTGACATGCCAAAATAGTCTCTTGAAACGGACGTGCCCCCATGGGGCACACTGCTGGTCGCAGTCAGGGACTCATCCTGCAGCCCCTGGGCGAGAAGGCGAAGGGCAGCACCGCAAAGCCTTCCCAACAGGGAGAAAGGAGGCAGAGAGCCCTGTGCTGCTGCTGTGGCTGACTTAACGAGCCCGAGTCGGAGAAGGCTTCTCAGTTTGGTTCCCCAGCCCTAAACCGGGGCTTATTTTGCGGCAAAACCGCCCTCCTACTGTTTTACCGGCGGTAACTAACGGGCCGCGGGGTGCAGGGCTGCGGCGGAGCCGCCAGGGGGCGCTGTTATGAGGGGAACGGGCCTAGCCCGGCGCTCTGGAGCGGGAACCCGCTGGGCCCGGGACAGGGCGGCCGCCACCGGCCGTTCGGCCCCG